AAATAATTCAAACTATTTATGTAGTTTAAATATTTAATTTTAAGTTTGAATTAAATATTACTACATAATTTATTTGGTAAAAATATTCACACACCACCAATTGTAACTAAAAATGTATTCTAAATAAAAAAAATATATATCTACCTATTATTAAAAAAATTTGGTCAAATATTTCTGTTTGGCATTGACAAGTAAAGCTTTCATTCTTTTTCTTCATGCAGGATAAATCTTGTCTAATTGTTCCATTATCGCAGAAGCTAAAATTAATTATATTAAATTAAAATCAATTTATATTGTAGCAAAAAATAATTGAATTAAAAACTTTAAAAATAATTCTTTAAAAGCTTTGCTTATGAATTGTCTAGTTATTTATGTACATTAAAAATGATAGAACAAATGAAGGGGTCAATGCAAGAATTCTTGCACTTAAGTGCCTAAGTCACATTTTCAATTAAATTTACATTGTGGCTTCATCTAAGAGTGTTTCACGTAAGGTTTCAGGTGGTATTTTCAAAGTGGCAGAAATATGTGCCCAAGCGCCTTAGTTTGCATTTACTTCAATGGGAGTTTGCCTGGTTTTCAACTTATGTGAAAACTCTTAGATGAAGCCAGAATAACAATTTAATTGAAAATGTGACTTAAGACACTTTTTGCATTGACCCCTTCAAATAAAAAGATTATCACCCTGTAGTTCAAAATGCTATATTAATGTAAAAAAAACATGAAAAGCACAAAACATTTGTAATATAATCAAGATTTGAACTGTATGCTTACAAGTGTTTAATATGACCTCTTCCAGCTGCAAACATCTTGTAGATACTCGGCAGTTCCAATTCGTGTATTCAGCTTTTACAAATCTTGGGCTCATACATGTTATCTTTTATAAAGCCCCAGAGAAAGAAGTCGAACACTGTGAGATCGGTTGAACATGTTGACCATACATGAAGTGCCAAATTGTTGGGCCCTTTACATCCGATCCACCGATGAGGGGGCTGTTCGTTCAATAACCTCCGCTCCACCAAATGCCAATGTAGTGGGGCCCTGGACCCAGGTCCAGTTTTCGCGTAGCTACATCAAATAATTTTAACAAAAACATACATTTTGACAAAGATTATAGGTACCTATATTTAACATTTTGTATAACAGCAACTAGTGTCGAGAAAAAAAACGTTAAAAACTGTTTTGATTGAAAGTTTTGAATCAAAACGCTTTAAAACTATTTAAATTCTATCAAAACTTGCATTAGTTAAACAACCCATAAGCAAAGAGTAAGAGTCTTTACTCTTTGCCATAGGTTTCATTACATAAAAAGAATTTTATTTGTTTTATCGTAACTACATTTCACATGTGTTTTCGGTAAACATAGAGAAAAAAACCGATACGGTTTATCACACGTATTTTCTTATTTTAAACGCGGTAATGATGCTACAACTAACTCAAACTTGACTAAAAACACCTAATAAAATGTTAAAGCCGAAATTAACAAGTTTACTTACCTAAAACAAAGAAAATTTGGATTATAAAACTTCGTACACAACACTTCAACAAGACTGTCGGCCATTTGTAATTTCTCAAACCGACCATCAACGAACAAGTTGGAAAAGACCAATCACAACAAAGTAAGAATCACGTGGTTAATAACTGGGGTCTGTCAAAAACAACTTGGGTTTCAACGCACGCTAGATTTATTTTACTGTTGCCTGTTGTCAAATTCCCCTTATACCCCCCTGCTTTAACAATTAAATTCAACCTGCCTACGACGTCCTCGTCAGCGACAAATTTAAAGTAGCTAACATATAACATAACAATAAAAAACATTCATGTTAATGAGTAAAAGTAAAGTAAAACCTTGGTTCTCTGGGTAAAACTAACCTAAAATCTAAAACACTGACAGTGACAGTGACAATGTCAACCATATAATTAAGGTAATTATACACAACGATTTTATACAGAATTTCTAAGATTACGCTGCACATTATAGTCCTCCCACCTCTAATCAGTCTGCTAAAACACGCCTGTGATTGGCTACTTTATTTTATTAATAACTAATTAATGGTGCGTCTGATCGAAAAACGGCAAATTCCATTCGACTTAGAATTCCATTCTCTATTTACCCCTTTTCTGCTGTCCTTGACTTTTGAGACACCCTGTATATATATATATGACTGGTACTGTATATAACTATAGTTTAAAAATAATTTAAATTAATAGTTGTTCGTAGTGTAATAAAATATTCTTATATTAAAAAACCTTTACGCCCATACGCATCGCATTGGTGGAAATAATCAATTTCTGCAAACTAAATTTCTTGTCGCCCAACAACTTGTCGGGCGCCCTACGTAATACGTGACATGACATATTTCGTATACTATGCATAGATAATAATACTATGGCAACAATCACGGTTATAATTTAAATAATTTTTTTATTAAAACTGATTAATACAATAAAAAAGGGGAAAACCCTTTAGATTGTAGTAAAAAACAAAAATTACCAGTCAAAAATTTTGCGCCCCCTGTAAGCTTGCGCCCCGGGTCTATAGACCCCCAAAGACCCCCCCTAAATCCGGCGCTGCATCGTCAGTGGCATCTTTTATATAATAGTATAGGTATTATGTATCAAGTTTTATAAACGCCATTTTAGTTACCTACGAGTTTTTAGGCACGAGCAAAGCTTATTAAAAACGAGTGTCTAGATAAGTTTATAAAACGAGTTGCATACTAAGAATACTTTATTTACGAAGAACACAAAAAAGAATTTAAAGCCAATTATATTTGTTAAACATTTGACATCTATCAAATGTCAACGGAATTAACCTCACTTTTCTCTAATACTTCAGCCCGTGACTAAAGCGCCATAAAGTCACTGCTCGTCAATGTAGAAGTAGATAATAGTATATTATGTATAAAGTTTTATAAACGCCATTTTAGTTATTATTAAGCACGAGCGAAGCTTGCAAGCGAGTGTTTAAGATAAGTTTATAAAACGAGTTGCATACTATACTTTATCTACGACGACCACAAGGAAGAATTTAAATCCAATTTTATTTGTTAAATATTTGACATTTGTCAAATGTCAACGGAATTAACCTCACTTTTCTCTAATTTATAATAAAGCTAACTTCAGCCCGTGACTAAAATGCCCAAAAGCCACTATTGCTAACTTGAGACGGTGAAAAAACGCTATAAAGTCACAGCTCGTCAATGTAGGAGTAGATAAATACATTTAACTTATTTGAAAAGGATAATTGGTGTAGCGGAAATGTCATCTCATACTCAAGACAACGTATGCGTAACTACGAATTTTATTTTGTCATTAGCTGTACTGAAGGAAAACTTGTTATTGTAAAATATTTTATAACATCGTATACAATTTTGTAGAATTTCACAGAAATAAAAAGATTATGTAAAAAATAATCGTACTAAAATTGAGTAAAACTATAGTAGATTCGTTTAATGTAATAAAAAAAATTGAATTTATCGGAATCTCTTGTCAATAATTTTAACTTACCTCTTTTTAATAAGTTTTATTTTTTTTCGATAAAACAATAAAATCACATTTTCAAAAATAAACAATTTATTTTCATAAAAATAATTATAATTTTGCAATCAAAGTAAAAAAAACGAAAAAATTACTTTTAAATCAGTGAATTTATGAAAAAATCATGAGAAAGCTTTTTTATACAGCCTTCGATTTCCTATAAAAATATGTGTCTCTTATTGCTGTATATTAACTTGCTCGGGAGAAAAAAAATTAAATGTAAAACTTGCGGAAACCCCATGTTATTTAAATGGAAAATGTATCGTCTTTGTGGCACGGTTTAATATGAATATTTTTTTAATAATTTTTTTAATAATTTTTTTAGATTATAAACTAAAAATTTAGGGGGCGCTGCGAACAAAAAAAACAATTTGGTAAAATTTACTATAATTAATAACGGACACCCTACTGTATATACATATTTATATAACTATTAATTTTAAAGTTTTTTGAGCTTCTGAAAATACCTATCTCTAGTTTCAAAAAAGGACTAATTGGGTGTAGACCGTATCAGTGAAACAAATTAGTCAAACGTCTTGTTAACATATTTCAAACAAACTGAAACAAAAACCGGATTAATGATTTAACTTAGATAAAAATGACATGCCAATCAAACCTAAACATGTTTGAACACTTCCCTTTGGTGTGTAAGTATCAAATTACAATAAGTTTCTTAATCATTTATATCAAGTAGGTAATTTTAATCAAAACAATTTAAAATACTCATATACATATAAGAGACAGTATAAAAGATTTATATCTTCCTTTCATCTGAGTGAACGGATGTTAAATATTAATATGCATATTAATATTATTTTAAAAAGTTACACAGGCTGTAACCCCTCGAGTTTGCACTTAGAATATTTATCAGTGACTAAGAAAAATATCAAATAAATTAATCATGTTTAGTATAGTTCTTGCATTAGTAGCCTCATATCCGCTGTGTTAAAAAAGCACCCTAATGAAGTGTTAATCAATAAAAATGTCCAGGGGCGTAGCGAAGGTTTCGATTTTTATTTATATTACATTTTTCAGACGAAAAAGTAAATATGTATTTTAATTTCGTTATTTGTTCGTAAATTTTGCAAATGCTGCTTTTTTACGATTTTCGTTAAATTGTAAACTTTTGACGGACTTTGTATATCTAAAGGATTATTATAAAACCCTTAAGATTAATTAGGTATTTTAGTCTGCTGTAAGTATATTTTAAAGTTTTTAAGTATATTTTAAAGTTGCCTTTTTAAGAATAAATAAATAAATAAATAAATATAATTAAAACTAAATGGTTTTAATACAGTTTTAAAATTTAGTCTTCAAGGCCCGTTTGGGATGGGCCTTTTTGGCTAGAAGCTGCTTTAATATGGTCCTAAGTTTTATTGTATAGTTTTAAAGCGGCCCTGGAGATCTCTATAAGAGCATTAGTGTTACTTGGGGAAGTTACAAAATTAAAATACAAAAATAAAAATTATAATACTTTATTTTTAATGTTAAATAACAATCATTATAGTATCTAGTGTAAAAAATAAATATGTACCATTACATAGTTATATATAATGGTAAACTTTTAAGCATAGTATAAACAAATATATATCTTTAAAAACAATTAATTACAATTATTAAAAACAACATTAAGGGCAAAAAAATTGATGTATTCGACGAAGAACCTAAAATGTTAAATAAAATTTAGTATTTAAAATTTTTTTTATAATTTAAATTGTTAGATGGAATATAAAACCTATAAAATTTTAAAAAGACAACACTTTTTTCTGTGGCATACCCAGCTGGTGGATTTTGGGCACACCCATATATCAGTTATTAGACATGGGACCCACATCAAACTTATATGCGTTTATAATGACATTATTTAGACAAGTTCTGCGCAAGCAGGATGTAAATTAAAGTTTGCGAAAAAAGTTAGTTTTTAAGTGTGCTCCCCCAGCCTCCATCTCCCCCAAATTAAGATAATTCAAATTAAAGTGGTACAATATTTAATTCACTGAATTTTATCGACAAATTTCAAATTTTATTAAAAAAATTCAAGTATTACAGATTTTATACCATTTCCATTTTTTTAAATTTATATATATTTACTATAGTAAGAGAAATAGTAAAAATTTAAAATGGTATAAAACCTGTAATTCATGAATTTTTTTAATAAAATTTGAAATTTTACGATAAACTTCAGTTAATTTAATATATATTGTACCACTTTAATTTGAATTATCTTAAATTGGGGGGACAGGAGGCTGAGGGGCACACTTAAAAACTAACTTTTTTTCGCAAACTTCAATTTAAATTCTGCCTGCGCAGAACTTGTCTATATAATGTCATTATAAACTCATATAAGGTTGATGTGGGTCCCATGTCTAATAACTGAGATATGGGTGTGCACAAAATCCACCAGGCGCCACTGCTGTTGACCAGTGTACTTTTAACTTTGCACAACAAGACATCTCAGCCTAATGACATTAAGAATTTGGTAAAAATGCTGTCGGCTATACATATTCAAAAACTACTCTCTTAAAGTGAAATAGTCAAAATTCTACTATTTGAATTAGTACCAGCATTGTTTACTAATAAAATAGTTGTTTTGCACAACTTTAATAAAGTTTGACTAATTTAAGATAAGTCACCATCTTTGACTGTTTCTAAGAGTAAAAAGTAACTAATTTCTTTAATCATTTTTAATTCTTGCGATCAAAATGGTTAAATGGCCCGTAAAAACAAACAAAGATGATATGTTTAGCTTAAAACAGCAACACAAAAAATATATTCGACTTTAAAATATTATTAACATTATTTATAGATTTATAAGTGATTTACATCCGCTAGTTCAAAAATCTAACAAGTGGGGCACCAAGGGGGATTACCTAATTTGAGTACGCTGAATCTAATGGTGCTAATCGTGAGTTGGGTGGTCCATTAGAAGTTTCTGGAGAACCAAAAGATTTGAAATTTTAAAAGCGTTTATAATCCATTTAAGTATATTTTTCTAAAATATTTTAAACAAAATGCTACTTCCGGTTTAGATAAAGTACCCCATTTATTTTTACATTTTTAAATTCTACATAAAATTTTAAATAAAATTACTATACCATGTTCTATACCTAAAGTGAATAGTTTAAGGGTTATTAATTTTTTTTTTGGTTAAAATTTGACAAATGCGAGTCAATCAAAAATAGCCTATAACTTTTTTTATTAGGGTTGCGAATATGAGGAATTTTTGGAATCTTAAAACATTGTTTAGAAGATTCCACGTCAATTCTTTAACATTTGTTTAGAAAACCCAGGGCAAATTAGGCTAACTTGAAAGGTTAATAACTTTTTTATTTTAAATGTAACAACCAGTATGTTTTTACCTAATCAAATTGTAAATTAATTGGATACACTTATATTAAACAGGTCAAAAACTCTTGAAACATTTATGCACACATCACTATCAGAATAAGAATTATTTTGTTTTACAAATACTTGACTGAAGTATTCTGAAAAGGCATTCACTATTTGTTTCTCTGTGGTACATCTTCTACCGTTAAAGGACATTTCTCCGGGTATTCTGCTCGCACTTCTTTTACTGTTGATGAAATTCCAAAGCTGTTTTGGATCTGTTTTTAATGTTACTTTCTGTTTTTGCTACAAATTGTTTATAACTGATTTTAATATCAGATTTGACATTTCTACGCATTTCAATGAATTTTTCTTTGTAGAAAAGGCGTTTAGTTTTTTTAAACATGCGAAAATAGTGACCCTTTAGTATATATTAATATGTCGTAATATGTCATATGTCACACTGAGGCGTATTTGTCGTCTCCTGAAGAATTTTACGAATGTAGAATACAACATATTAGAAAAAGGGTATCTGACATATTTAGAAATATTCTCAAAAGCTTCCTAGAGGCTCCATAAGAAACCTTCTAAGAACATTCCAAAAACGTATTCCTAAAATGTTCTTAGGATGCTTTTTAGGAAGATTTTAAGAAGCTTTTAAGAATCTAATTGCATCATTAAAAGGGTATCTATTGAATGTTTTAAAAGTACCCTAGCAATAAGGGAAGGTACTAAGAATATTCCATTATTCCGGGTCATATCTTCTTAGATTCTTAAAATCAAATTTTGCTATCAGGGTAGTACCATTGGATTTAGCGTATTCGAATTAGGCAATCCCCCTGGGACCCTGCTAGTTAAGTTCGAGCACAGTGTTATTACACTGTTTAAAATATCTGTGGTGTAAAAAGTAATCCTAAAATGGTGTCAAAATCCAACACCAAGTGGTGTTAATATAACACCAAAACGGTGTTTATCTAAAAATATTTGAGAAGTGCACCTACGCAGAAAAAAAGAAATAGTTCATTTAACTATATTAATTTAGTTGACCCATAAGTATTTATTTTTTTGTGGATCACGTAATGTTCTTAAATCTCGCCTCTGTTGACTTACATGAAGAATATATAAGCTCATGTCCTTTGCTTTGGTGTGACACTACAAGTTGTTCGATACTAGACCTTAAATAGGTGGAAACAGCTGTCAATACTTGAAGTATTTTTAAGTTAGTGGAACGAACTAAAAACATTATCTCTAGCGAGTTGAAGGTTCCATTTTCTGGAATAATACCACTGGTAATGTACTAGTAATGCGTCAAGGAACTTCCTGTTTCCTTTTTTTTTCTTTTTTCTGTGTAATATGATTTATTTTGACCACAAACACATAATATTTAACACTGAAAAGGAGTTCAATTTACACCAGGTAAAATTTATTTTAATACTCTGTGAAAGTTAAATTAACACCATTTTAGTATTTGAATTTACACCATTTTAGTATTTAAATTAACACCGGACCAACGAACCCTATTTAACACCATTTTGGTTTGTATCGACCATATATGGTGTTAATTTGGTGTTAAAATGGTCATGAAATTTTGAACAGTGTAGTGACTGCTTTTTTGCTATGAAAATTAATCAAATATGACTTATAACACAGTACGACAAAATTTGATTTTTGGTCCCTCCCATGAAAAATTTCTACAGATTCTAAAAATAGAGTTAAAAAAATGATACCCGTGTCTCGGCGTTTTTTCACATCACGTCATAATTTTTTTTTAAGGGCTATCCAATAAAATGTTATTCACACTATTCGCGACATATTTTAATAGACTCGATAACAGCTGGACTGCATAGTTAAAAATATATATATTTACTAAATGGATAGGCAACCATTATAGATGCATTTTAAAATTATTTTAATCTTATACAGAGTTTTGCACATTTAAGAAATATATCAAACGGTTTACTTTTAATAATAATAATAATAATAATAATAATAATAATAATAATAATAATAATAATAATAATAATAATAATAATAAAGTAACAAAATGTTTCAATTTTAAGCCAAATCAAAATGCTTTAAAGTCGGGTGATGTAAAGTTTTTATTTATTCAATTTTTTGTAAAAATTGAGCTTTGTTGAATTAACATTTTTAATACTAAAAATTAAAAGATATTAATGCGCCATGCACTTGATTGCACCCTATATTTCGTACTTTTTTTTAAATGTTAAACAAAAACATTATTGCAGCGATAAATCGATAAATTTTTCATATTAATTTTGATTGTTGAGTAAACCATCCATTTGAAATCAAAGTAAAAATGCAGTGTCCGAATCGAAATAATTTTTGTTATGTATGTGGTTTATTTGCACCTCCAAGCCATATGCGAAATATTACAAAAAGTGTAGTAACAGCTTTTGAAGGCTATTTTTTGGTGACGTATATACCAAACTTATGGTATGTACCAGAGGTTTTATGTGATTATTGTTACCGTTGTTTGCATGGATTGCAAGATAAAACACACAGTATGAAATATGTTGCACCAACAATTTGGCTTCGACGTACCGAACACGCATCTGACCAGTGTTATTTCTGCATGTCAAAATTAAAAAGTTTTGGATTTCGGTACAATACTAGAGAGAAAATTGATTACGCCGATGTAGAATCCGTCATTCTCGCAAGAGTGCGATCTGAAGATTATCCAACTGCTCCTTCAGAAGACATATCTGAGGATAAAAGTAAAAGACCTTTAACACCCAGTACTACCATTTTTTCCGAGGTGGAATCTGAATTTATTCCCTGTAGTTCGGGTTATAAAGTACATTTTATAACCCAGGCTGATTTCAATGATCTTGTTCGTGATGCCAATTTATCAAGAACTACAGCGGAATTGGTTGCATCACGGCTCCGACAATGGAATTTAGTTGCCGATGACTTTAAAATAACGGCAAACCGAAAACGAAATATTTGCATGTCGTTTGACAAATATTTTGCTTCACATGAGGATTCTGAAAAGAACCTGGCTTATTGTGAAAACGTCGATGCATTATTCGAAAAAATTGGTCATCCTCATATTTCAGAAGAATGGCGACTCTTCATTGATTCCTCTGTGAATAGCTTAAAAGTAGTTTTACTTGAATGAAGCTAATTCTAGAGCTAATACACTACAATCAGCACGAATGGAAAATTTGTTGCGATCTGAAAGTTGTGGGATTGCTGACTGGTTTAAAAAAAGGATATTGTAAACACCAATGTTTCTTGTGCACTTGGAAAGGCCGTAAGACAGAGCTGCATTATACTGATTTTTCATGGGAGCCACGCATTAACTGTCAATTAGGCATTGAAAACTTACCGTTGGTGGATGCAAGGAAAGTAATCTTTCCACCACTTCACATTAAACTTGGCCTGATACGCAATTTTGTTCGAGCACTGGATTCGTCCGGTGAAGCTTTTAAATTATTACATATAATTTTTCCAAAATTGTCTACAGAAAAAATTAAAGCAGGTACATTTCAATATAATTTTAGATTTATTTTTTAGTAACAACATTGTATGTTTCAGGTATATTTACTGGTCCAGATATATCAAAATTAATAAAAAATAATGAATTTTATAATTTAATGAGCATGATAGAAAAAAGGGCGTGGAATGGTTTCGTTGCAGTGGTAGATAATTTTTTGGGAAACAAAAAAGCAGACAACTACAAAGAAATTGTTGCAGAAATGATTTCTGCTTTTCAGGACATGAAAGTACATATGTCACTGAAAATACATTTTCTCCATGCTCATTTGGACCATTTTCCACCAAATTTGGGCGATTTTAGTGACGAACATGGCGAACGTTTTCACCAAGACATTTTAACAATTGAAAAACGCTTCAAGGGAAAAGACGTCAGGCATTTGCTGGGTGAATATTGCTGGTCAATTGTTCGAGATTCTGAAGCAATATATAATCGTCAAACTAAACGACCAAGATTTTATTCCAACATGTATTAAATATAAGATAAATACAAATGTGTTTCATTAAAAAAAAAAATAAAAAAAATTATTTAAAAAAAATCAAAATATAAACTTTTTTTATATTTGTTTTTTGTATTGTGTAAAAACATACAATATTTCCAAAAAAATATATTTTTAACCGAGTAAAAAATGTACAATCTGTATAAGCATAAATAATAGGAATGACGGCTTAAAATTTTTTTATGACGTGATCTCGCAAAACTGTGAGACACGGGTACGTTTTTTTTACCTCTATTTTCAAAATCTGCTAAAATTTTTCATGGGAGGGAAATCGTGTTGTACTGTGTAATTAGTCATTTTTAACTAATTCATTTTAAGAGAGTTAAAAACTGATCATACTTAAGCAATATCCGTCCAGTTTTATGTACGAAGATTTGCATTTGCACTCCCCAAGAATGCATTCCAACCGACTAACACCTTGCCCTGGTTGATGACAGTCAAAATGATCCATACAAGTTTCACCAAGCACTGAAACATCACCAATTAGTGAAATGCTGTTTGTTTTTATCTACGTTTGTAATACAAGTAACAAGTAACAAAAGTTATAAAGTATTTAAGGTTTATTTACCAAAAAACAAAGTATACTTACTAGGGTGATTCATTTCCGCAAAGTTTTTTTTTTTTTTCGGCGCTCAAGCAAAATATTAATCTGCATATAGGAAAAAACATTCTCACCAAGTTTGAGCTCTTAATATTAATTTTAAGCACTTACTATTTAAATTTAAAGTTTTACCGTTTAAAATGAATGTAAAAAATATATTTTTTTTTCAAATTTCTAATGCTTACCCACCTTTTACAATATTGCAAATCGGTTTAATACACCTTATGGGAAATTTCACGCTCTTTAAAATTGCTTTTGAGTTTTTTTTGTAACTCGCATTGGTTCACCAGTAGGAGTCGTCAAAGGACAGTTTTTCGAGCAAATCGCCAAAAGTAGTGAGAAAAAAGGGCTGATTCATAAAAAAAAAAGTTATCCAACCAATATTTAATGAATTTACAGCCATTTTTATAACTGAAAACGTAAGAAATTGATAAATACCAACCCATAATGTTATTTAGATTGATTTTTTCTATTTATTATCATTATTTTTCCCTACACTAAGAACTTTTTTAAAATTATTATGATTTCTCACTCATAATGAATATGAAAACAACACATAAATTCATAAAAAAACAACAAAACTTTAATCGGAATATACAGAAGGTTATGTAACATATTTCAAATTTCGCTTCAAAAAATTAAATAATCTTCATTTATATTTTTTTGCTATATGACAGAAATGTTGAAAAATTGCAAAATCCACGTTACAATTTTCTTATTGTTTTTTTATGAATTTATCTGTTGTTTTCATATTCATTATAAGTGAGAAATCAATAATTTTAAAAAACTTCTTAGTGTAGGGAAATATAATGATAATAAATAGAAAAAATCAATCTAAATAACATTATGAGTTGGTAATTATCAATTTCTTACGTTTTCAGTTATAAAAATGGCTGTAAATTCATTAAATATTGGTTGGATAACTTTTTTTTATGATTCAGCCCTTTTTTCTCCCTACTTTTTGCAGTTTGCAATTAAAAAAAAAACGATTTTTTTCAAAAACTGTCCTTTGACGACTCCTACTGGTGAACCAATGCGAGTTACAAAAAAAAACTCAAAAGCAATTTTAAAGAGCGTGAAATTCCCCATAAGGTGTATTAAACCGATTTGCAATATTGTCAAAGGTGGGTAAGCATTAGAAATTTGAAAAAAAATATATATTTTTTACATGCATTTTAAACGGTAAAACTTTAAATTTAAATAGTACCTAAGTACTTAAAATTTATATTAAGAGCTCAAACTTGTTGAGAATTTTTTTTTCTATATGCAGATTAATATTTTGCTTGAGCACCGAAGAAAACAAAAACTTTGCGGAAATGAATCACCCTAATACTTACACATATCTTTAACACATTTCCCGGTAGTATTTTTGAGTTGAAAAAGATCCTGGCATTTGCAAAACCCTTGATAACATTCCGAACCGTATCCCAAAATTGGCTTGCACTGAATATCCTTGGTGCAAGGACCTCCCAATCCTTTAACCAAAGGCCAACATTTTGTGTCGCTAAAGCCGTAATCATTTTTGCATCTACAAGTGGAGTCAACACATTCTGAATGCTGCGTTTGGGAACATTCTATATGGTCTGCACACTTTTTCCCAATCTCTACAAAAATGAAGAAATAAATTAATACATACTAATGCTTGAATACAAAGATACCCACCGACAGTTTTGTAGCAAGTTCCATTGAATGGGTGCCTGTTTTGTTGACAAACGCATTTATTATCTTGACAAAGTGAAAAGGGTGTTATGGCTGCACACTGAACATTTTCTTCGCACATACTGTCAAGTCCATCAGAAACTGAAATACAAAAATCCATCAAAAGGACACATTGTGTCGACAGGTTAGTCGTTTATTTATTATTTGTTTTTGTTGCACTTTATTATACAGAGTATAAAACCATTGAGTAAAGAAGTCACTTCTTTACTCAATGATAAAACCAAGTGGCATTTTTAGTGAATGGAACGTATCGGCTTATACTTGGAACTAAAGTGTATCGCCATGGCCATGGCACCACGTGCACGTGGTAGAAACGGTTCTATTACGAGGAAGTGACTAAAATGCACAGCAAAAAATTTGCCCGTGTAAATTTTATAGAGTACCTACCTGGTAAAAATATTAATAATAATAATAATAATAATGTTTATTTAAGTAATAGGACAATAGTATTACAAGAGGCCAGGCCCGGATTGGGCCGGGGGGCTAGGGGGCAAAGGCCCCAGGGCCGCTGCCCGGATGGGCCGCCAAGGCCGTAATATAATATAATATGAATGCTTTATAAAATTAAAAGGGAAAAACTTCTCCAGAAGAAGTTTTCTCATCTATGAATTATCCTTAGGTTTTGATAACTTTTACCATAGATCATAAAAGTTTCTGTGAATTTATTTTATGATTTATTTCCAAATAAAGGCACAGTAAACAGTTTACTGTTTTTGAGATGACTTTTTAAAGTATGTAATTTCGGTAAAAGATGGCGCTACAGCCCTCTGGCTACAAACGCGCGTGTGTAAAACCTACAATTTTTGTGTTTTATTTTGCTTAAATATTGAATGTGCAAATCTTGATGTGTACTAAAGGTACAACTATTTATAAAATATACTTTTTTAAATATTCACTACAATTTAGTACCTACAACTGGTAATAAAAACCAAGTGGCCCCCTACAGACAAAATTACGTATCATTAAAAGTTGATATTTTAAGGAGAGACAATACTTTTAAGTAAAGTTATTTATAATATCGACATGTTTTTTTATTTTTTTATTGTTCTATGGTAAAACTTGTATCGTATCGGTGTATTACTCTGGCTGCGTTATAAGGAAAATTAAAAAAAAAAATGAATAAACGTGTAAAAGGTGGAGCTGAAAAAGAACGAGAAAGAAAAAGGAAGAAAAGGGAAAATGAAGCGGCACAATGTCATAAAATCGGAGATTTGTTCAAAGCTATTAAGGTAAAAGTGACTTTTTATTGTTAATTTTATATTATTATAATCTTTATGTATTATATTCGTTCCATATTGAATTGATGTAATTATTATCTTAACATTATTAAACACTTAATCTACAACAAGTAAGAGATCTTGGTAGGTAAATAAAAAGAGCAAATCTATATTGAAGGAAGATGAATCCCAACATCTCGCTGTAGCTATTTGTGAAACATGCAAAAATTGCGTTGTGTGTTGTTTTCAAGTTTTGTTCCAATATAAATTACATACAATGTCTTACAATAATTTATATAACGCTTATAAATACGTTTTAACTTTGTCATGTACCCAGGTTTCCTGTGAAAGAATTTTTTCAAAGTTAAAATTTGTACAGAATTCTGTACAATTAATAGACTAAGGAGTTAACAATTGTCTTACACAAGAACACTTGGATGCCTTACTGCTGATGTAGATTTAAATACTGATGTGATTATAGATAATATTGCCACCAAAAGCGAATCTTTAAAAAAATTATTAATTCTTTAAAACTTAATAAAAAACATTCATTTCTTTCAAATTTTTTTATTGTTACAAAAAAATTGATGTGGTTTAAGGGCCGGTTTATAATCAAAGCCCGGGCCGAAAAATTATCCCAATCCGGGCCTGCAAGAGGCTTACAAGAGCCTTAATAAACATTCAATTCCATAAAAGCATGTATACGAGGTGTGTTCAGAAAATAACGGGAATTGTTAAATTTCGCGGGTTCAGAGGGTCCGGTTGTCATAAAATTTTCTTTATTATGTTGGTATACATGCCCCCGAAGTATGATAAAAACTTTAGCTGTTTTCATTGTTTCCTTTGTCTGTGGCAGCCGCTAAGGTTAGACGTGTTTTATGAACTCGGCGATTTTTCGTTCGTTAAAAGAAATGGATCAAAGAATTTGTATCCAATTTTGCTTAAAAAATGAAATAAATTCTGTGAAATGTTAACAAGGCCTATAGTGAGTCTGCTATAAGTAAAACAAGAGTTTACAAGTGGTATAAGAGTTTCCAAGATGGCCGTGAAGACGTTGAAGATGACGAACGCCCCGAACGCACAAGCACATTAACAACCGATAAAAACATGGAAAAAGTGGAAGAAATTGTTAAACCATCAGAGAAGTCGATGATGATGTTGGTATATCGATTGGCTCATCCCATGAAATTTTTTCAAATGTTTTGGGTAAGACACGCATGACAGCAAAATTTGTTCCAAAATTGTTAAATTTTGAACAAAATTTTCGGCCAAAAACAATACTGTAATGATGCCCCAGCCTCCATATTCGCCAGACATGCCTCTGCCTGACTTTTTCTTATTCCCAAAAATAAAGAGAACCTTAAAGGGCCGTCGTTTTGCAAGCATAGATGACATTAAAAGCACATCGCTGAAAGAACTAAAGGCTATCCCAAAAATCGAGTTGTAGAAGTGTTTCGAGTATTGGAAGAAGAGCAGGCACATGTGCATAATATCCAATGGGGACTATTTTGAAGGCGACAACATTAATGTACACGAATAAATAAATATTTGTTTTAAAAAACGAAAATTCCCGATATTTTCTGAACACACCTCGTACTTGGAACTAAAGTGTATTGCCACGTGGTAGAAACGGTTCTATTACGAGGAAGTGACTAAAATGCACAGCAAAAAATTTGTCCGTGTAAATTTTATAGAGTAACTGGTAAAAATATTAGAGTTAAAATCTAGGGTAAACTATTTTTCATTTAGGTAAATTAGAGTAGATGTTTTCACTAAATCAATTAAACTATAACTTTTGTAGAGTTATTTTTAAATCTGGTACATGGTACAGTTTTATATAAATATCTCTAATAAATTCTTAGTAGTGCATATTTTAACTCTAAAATGTGTAGATTTAACTCTATTTAGCACGGTGGTCAAAACTTAAGTATAGGACGAACAAAAATGCCAACCAAAACTGATAGCATATTTTGATTATAGACCCTTTTGGTAACACTAACATGTATTTATCAAAATCCCAGCTGATCCTATTTTAAAGTTTTGCAAACTTTTTTGTTTTTCTATTTCTATATATTATTTTGCAATTATTGTACTAAAACTACCTGTACAATTTTAATAAAATTAAGCAAAATATTATTAATTTATTGAGTCACCTATTATTTTTTACCACTCAAAACAAAACATAACAAAAAAAACGAAATAATTACAACTTGCAAATTTTGTAAAACAATAATTAAGGTGGTTATGAAAAAAATTGCTATACGTTATAACGCAAGTGACATTTTGCTTTAGTTGTTTATTTAATGTAAACTTTATAAAATTAAAAATAGTATTTTAAAATGAAAATTAAACGGAAATTCAAGTTAAGCCATGAAGAAAATCGAAAGAAGGTATGTGCTGGCTGTGGAGACAAAATTGTTTTTGGTAATCGAAAAATTCAGAGTTTAGGGTTTCCGAGAAAATATAAAAATTACTGCAGACTTTTTCAAACGAACACTTTAACTTAAGTGATTCAAAATTACCTACTTCAATATGGTAAAAACGGTATTTTTGCATAGCCACAATTGCCAAATTTTCAAAATTTAGAAATTTGTAGAGAATTTCGCGGCAGCCAAGAATGTATGTGCTTTATCTGCAAAATGGCAAGATATAAAGGGCATAAAAAATTATTAAGGGAAGGGGACGGACGAACGAACTAAAGTTTTGACATGCTCTTCCTTTCTAAGGGATATCGCTAGATGTAAGAAGCATGTTTGTACAGAGACTGAAGAATTTAAAAATACTGTTTCCATGTTAAAAACAATTCCATGTAAAACCCAAGAAAAAGTTTTGCTGAAAATTTAAGGCAAGCAGTAATCGATTTTGCTTCAAAGAATCTTTAGTTATTTATTAGTTTTGTATTAGGTACCTTAAAACAATAAATAAGATATTGCAAACTGTATTTTACATTATTTTGTATTTATAATGTAATTTATCCATATTTCAGTCATGTATCTGCCAAATTTTTAAAAACATTTAATAATGGTAAATTAGAGTATTTTATTGAAATGGCACAAACAATTTTAAAATACCAAGAAATATGCAAAACTTTAATAAAGGATCAGCTGGGATTTTGATAAATACATTTTTGTGTTACCAAAAGAGTCTATAACCAAATTATGCTATCAGTTTTGGTTGGCATTTTTGTTCGTCCTATACTTTAGTTTTGACCACCGTGTTAGAGTGATTGGCTCACAAGGGGTGTTTCTCTTTCCATTCCACTAGCGTGCATTTGTTCATTGTTTCATTGGAATTTGGCAGTGTGACAGTGATTTTGTATGCATTATTAGTATTACTCAGAGCTGGCCAAGTACTGAGTACTTTTACTCGTATTTCAATTACGAGTAAAAAAGTACGAGTACTTTTTTACTCATAGGTATTTTTCATTTGAAATACTTATTACTCGAACTTACAAACCAAATTCAATGTACTCGTAAAAAATACTCGTGGAATTCACGGGTAATATATACGAGTATTTCCGTTTATTATATCGATGACTTTTTGCCAAAATATCGTAAGCAACAAAACATTTTGTTTGGAAGTCTGTTTTAAATTATATAATATACATTATAATATAATACATTATATTCTATAGGTTTTAGAACAAGTATATACAGGGTGACCGATTTGTTGCGACTCACCCCTGTAAAATCTTTATTTATTGTGGGATTTTAACCAGATTTGTTTTGAAGTGTAGATCTACTATTAATTTAATTTTATTTCAATGTTTTTTTCATGGATAACTTGACAGAATAATTTTTTTAGTTATTATTGTGCATTTTTCTACTTAAATTTTTTTAATAAAATTTAGTATAGGGTGGTTTTGAGAGGTGGTGAATACAGTGCCATGCTTAGATTTTGTTTGAAATAAATCGCTAAAATGAATTCTTAAAAATTTACCCTTAAAAACTGACATAGTAGGCCTTGTATTTTGTAAAAATATGGCGATTTTTGCTCCAAAAATACAGTTTATCAAGATCTTTAAAACAAATCCGGTTAAAATTGCACTATAAATAAAGATTTTACAGGGGTGAGTCCCAAACAAATGGGTCACACTGTAAGTCAAATTATGAACTATTTAGGAATTGTCATTTTTATTTATTATTTTATGTACAGGGTGATGCCCTATAATGTCGCCCCCTATAATTTGTTTATTTTAAGTGTCCTAAAAAATTTAAAAGTGTGGTTATGTAGGTAATAAAAAATACTTTTTTACTACGTATAAAAAAATTGGAAAATTGATCAGTATACAGGTAAAAACAAAAAGTAAAAGTGGAAAAAAAGTATTTTTTAGTACCTACATAACCACACTTTTAATTTTTAGTTTATGTATAAATTAAATAATTTTATAATTTTATATTTGTATTTTTATAGCTCAGGACCAAAGTATGTATAATGTATAAAGAATAATCAATTGTATTAACTAACATTTTTTTTTTCAAAAGTACTCGTACCTACTCTTTACTCGTGTTTTCACGATTACTACTCGTAACCGTAACCTCTCTTTACAAATGTACTTACGAGTAAAATACTTACGAGTAAATATTTTAAGTACTCGTACTTAAAATTTTACATATACTTTTTTTAGTACTCGTGCCCAGCTCTGGTATTAGTAAGTACATTATTATAATAATTATTATTGTTTTATTTATGTATTTGGGGTTAATTAAATAGTTAACACGTTGCAGACATAAATAAAACAATTAATAATAAAACGTCTTAAATTCTAGTATAATAATAATAATAATAATAATAATAATTTCTACACTAAAGAGTATATAGGTGTACAGTGTACACTGTACACGATTATAACCTACCTAATAATTTATAATACATTTTTTATAAATTTAATAATTTGTTTGTATACCCTTTTCTATTAAAAACACGATATAGTGTACCTAAATTAAAAATTATTTACACTAAATATATTTAAATATAATGAGTCATTTAATCTATTTTTTGTTAATATCTTATTATCATAGAGTAGATTTAACACTAAAATGTGTTAATTTGTTTCTAGATTATACAATAAATAATAATTTTACAGGGATGAGTCGCAAACAAACAGGTCACACTGTTTGTAAAAATGTTCACTTAAAGTGACAAAAATCAACATTATTATAAAAGATTTTGCGCCCTTAAGGCGAGAAAAATAAAATTGTAAAAATGGTAAGTGATAAAGCACGATATTTTTGGTGTTGGTTTAATTTTAGCAACTTTTAAGGGTTAATGGTTTTATTGTCGACGCAAAAAAAATTCTTACTTCAAAAAAATCACATGATTACAACTATGCTAATATAATATGAAGATATTTTAACTGTATCGTGGTAGATTTAGTTATTTTAACGTAATTGCCACTTATTTGAAGTTGCGATATCAGTTTTCGTCACTATAATGCTACTTGGAAACCCATGGGTTTTTTATTAACAACAGTGTTAAACAACTTAATAATGGTCTTACTCGAAAGGCATGTTTTAAAGGAATTCGATGCGATCATCCCGATATCGCAGATGCATCTTCCTCGACTGCAAAAAGCGCCATCTATGTTGCAGTTTTTATTTGATTTGCACGACTCTCCGATTTTCGTAACGAGCACCCCTCCTTCGTCCATGCACACTGAGGACCCGTTGCAATTGCAAAAACTTTCGATGCATTTGCCCTCTACATCATCACAGTCATCATCTGTATCACAGGGAATGATATCTAAAAAATAGAACATTGCGTTAATTAACTGATGCATGGCGGTTAAGTACTAACGAAAAGTGTTCAAATTTATCAAAAAGAATTTCGTAACCAATTAGTTATATTCAACCATTAACGTTTTAGACCAGTGCAGAAGCCTTTAAAAATGGTAAAAAGAGAAAAAAAATTACAGTAGGATGAAACCCATTGGAAAAGGAGGGGAATTTAATAAAAATTAAAGGAAAAATAAATTACGGGCGATCTGAGTTCGGGAAGTGGGAGGGGGGGGGTTTAAGGGTAAAAAATGGTTTATCTCGATTTCCGGCAAAACTACAAGTCCTATGGAAAAAAGTTAAATGTCAAAGTTGTAGGTAATAAAAAGATCTACAACTTTTGTATTTACAATTTTTTCACATAACCTCAAAATTTATGTGAAAAATTCAAAAAACCAAGTTTTTGGTTTTTTATTTTTATCTTTTTCAAAAAAAAATTTTTTTCCACGAAATTTGGTGAAAACTTACCTTTTTATGTCCCAAATACACTGTAATTTATTTGATTTGAAATATTTATTATTTCGCCTTATTTTGACTTAATATCAAAAAAGCACCCTAATTTTCAATCGAAAATTCTCGCGTCAAAATATTCATTATAATATTTTTTGCATTTTCTGAGAACATTTACCATAGTAATGTATATTTTTTTTACACCATCAGAAAGTAGAGATTTCAACGAACAAAAAGCACACCGACTTTTTGAAAAAAGCTGATATTTTGACGCGAGAATTTTCGATTGAAAATTAGGGTGCTTTTTTGATATTAAGTCAAAATAAGGCGAAATAATAAATATTTCAAATCAAATAAATTACAGTGTATTTGGGACATAAAAAGGTAAGTTTTCACCAAATTTCGTGGAAAAAAATTTTTTTTTGAAAAAGATAAAAATAAAAAACCAAAAACTTGGTTTTTTGAATTTTTCACATAAATTTTGAGGTTATGTAAAAAAATTGTAATTACAAAAGTTGTAGATCCTTTTATTACCTACAACTTTGCCATTTAACTTTTTTCCATAGGACTTGTAGTTTTGCCGGAAATACCCTTAAAACCCCCCCCTCCCACTTCCCGAAGTCAGATCGCCCGTAATTTATTTTTCCTTTCATTTTTATTATATTCTTCTCCTTTTCCAATGGGTTTCATCCTACTGTTATTTTTTTTGGTTTCAAAAATTATCGACCCTGGTCTATTTCTATAACCTTAAGGTAAATTCAAAGGTCATTTTTTAGTACAATTTAACTAATAAAAGAAACGTATTGGTAATATTACTAACTAGTTAAATATTTGGTTTATTTAGTTAAACTCTTAAAATAACATAAATTAAATTGGCTATAAATACCTATATATTTTAGAAGTAAGATACATTCGTTACAACGTTATATTATATGGCAAGCCGTTTTAGTATTTATTAGATAAAAGTTTAAATAATATATATATATAATATAAATTTATAAATGTAAACCTAAAATTTTTAGTTAGGAAAATTTTAAACCAATAAAATTTTAAATTATTATTATTAACATTTAATGTTAAAACGGCGTGCCATAATATTAACTTCTAAAATTGTTATTTTTTTTATATTTATATTTTGGTTTAGTTTAATTTTTATATTACTTTTTAGTAAATTTATCACAGCTGTGGTTAATTTGGATATACCTATTTTTTTAACCGACAAGTTATATATATATATGTATTTTACAATTAACGTTAATTAATAAACTGGTTAAAAAATTGATGGTTTTGCAGTTTTCATTATTGAACAATTGTTAGCTGCACAGAAAAATTAGTCTCAATACAGCTTTATATACAGGGTGAGTCATTTAACTTAAAACTTTAAAATATCTCAGTAAGTATGCATTTTACGAAAAAATGTTTAAAATAAAAATTAAATGATTCGAGGGGAGAAATCAATCAGTACTAAAATTGGTCCTAACACTCTTCTCCTTATAGGGGGAACAGGGGGTAACTTTAAACTTTCCAATGGAACACCCTAATTTTTATTGCAAATTCGGATCATTCGACTAAGGAGGATTTAGTCTAAAACATTTTTTCATATTTGTAATAGATGGCGCTGTAATGAAAAAAAAAACAATTTTGTTCTATTTTTTTCTTATACGATTCGGCAATAATTATTCTATAAAATTATCGCTTTTTTGGTAATAATTATTTTATTAAGTTTCCTTAAAGGGTCATCCATTAATTACGTGATACAAAAATGGGGGGAGGTGTCCAGCAAAATCTCAACTAATGTCAATTTAATGGAGGTGGGGCCCCCCCACTGGGGATCATTTAAAATCTCACGTCAACTTTTGAATTTAAAATATGTTCCTATTATAATTCAAATTTGTTAAAAAAAAATAATCATTTTTTTTTACAAGTTATCAAGGTGGAGGGGGGTCCAACCCAACCCAAATTTTCAGAAAAATGCCTCACGTAATTAATGGATGTCCCCTTAAGTTGACTTAGAGAGTTAAAAAGTAATTAAAAAAGTGTATAATAAACCAGAAACTACCAAATATTACCTTCTTTTTAACCAAAAGGTACATTAGCCAAGAAGTTAAATTTAACTAATATAACGTAAATTTTACCATAATTGAAAACCCCACTTATTACAAAATAATGATAATTCGAGGTTTTAAACGTTGTAGTACAATATTACTAAAATTAATTAACCAGGAATAACGTAAATTTAACGTTAGTAAAATATATATAAAAAATTAGAATGTACCACTAAAAATTTTAAAATGTGCATGTTTTAGTAATTTTGCAGTAAGTGTTGCATTTTTTTCATATTACTACATATCCATTAAAAAAGTACTTACCACCACTAGCAGTGTTTCTTAAAATCAAATCAGTTGACATGGTGTATTTTAAAACAACAAAAGATATTAAAACTTTAAAACAAAACATTTCTGATAATAAATATAAAACGCAACAAATATTAACAATACATTTGTTTAACTAAATTATTGCAACAAAATTTCTTATAAAAAAAACATTTTTTATCAATAAAAACCTACATAAAAATTAAAGATACTTGTATAGTTTCCTCACCAGAATAGCGATTTTTCAAGGTCATAAAATATAAAACATTTAAATATTACATAATATTATATGAATTTAAAAATTTTGAAATTTTATTCATTCACAAATAGGGTAAACTACATATATGTATATATACTATAGTAGTTATTGGACACTTAAGGAATATTATTTATTTAAAATTTATATATGCCGTTGTTTTAAAGATTTTAGTTTTTTTTATTATAAATATATAAAAAGAATAGTTGTTTGTTTAAACTTTATTTACCTTTACTTAAAAATAAGAATTTTTGAATTTTTAATAATAGTTTTATAAAAACATGCAAAAAAGTATAATAATTGGACATTTTATATAGTAATTGGACACATAGTTATTGGACAAATATTTTTTATATAAACATAACAACTTTACATCAAATAACATAAATTGTTAAATATTTTTTAAAGATAAATTGCTGTTTTAGGTAATTTTTTTTATTTCGTTTTTGTAAATATCATATAATTCATATATTTCTTTCTCGGATTCCTCATCCCTTTTCTGGATTCTGAAGGTAACTACTAATTCCTTGGTCTTCTGAAATAGTTTGTTGCAAATATCATTAAGTGTGGTATCTCTACTTTGTGAATCATTTATATATAAACATTATAATGTTTAGGCCGGAACAGGATGATTTATATATATCTAATATTTTGTTGCCATTACTTTTTTATGTTCTCTATCATGCACTGTATTTAAATCACTGTTATTCTGCAAGATGTCCTGTGAGGAAGAAATCACTATATTACTTACTCTGTAAAAATGAATTAGTCAAAAATGTCATAGCGAAAAAGCAGCCACTTTGTATCCAGGACACTTAGCAGTCAATTCCTATGAAATATATATTCGCTGAATCAGAAAATGTCGTCAAAAGTTATAAAATTAGAACAGTTTTTCAAATATAATCAATTTTACATATAATATGGAATTGACTATATCTCAAAAACTGCTTAACTTTTATAGTTTTTGACGGTCTTCGGATTCAGGGGATAATTTTATTTACGAATTGGCTGGTAAATGTCCGGGATACAAATAGAGTTTGATATTGGACATATGTCCAATAATAGAAATTTTCATTTTTAACCAACCAGTAATTGGACACTGGCTATTTTACTGTTTGTTTTCAGAATTAAAATTAAAACGCATTAAAGTGACAATTGTTATACCATGAGGAACACATTTATACCACACACTGATCTGTGCACTTTTTAGAAATATTTTGTATGCTAATTTAAGCACAGCCCTGTTCTTAACAAAAGAACAAAAATCTTACCACCAAAGTAACGTGCGAACTTTTTTTTTCATATATTGGACCCAAAATAAAGTAGTTCTATATTATTACCGACTGAGATAATAATAATTTAAAAAAAAAATTTACTAAAAATTTAATATTTTTGTAAGACGATTGAAAAAAATATGCGGAGTAAAGTGACTTTTTGTGGCTCGCCTGTTTCAAACCCTACAAACTCTTTACAAAAAGTGACACTGTATACAGGAACTATAGTTGCTTATCCATCAAATAATGCACTATTTTTATATTTACCCCTCTTTATCGAGTAAGCCAATAAAGATAAGAAAGATAATTTTTTTTTTAATGTTAACTATATTTTACGTGGGTATGTATACGTATAGCAAAAATACATACAAGTATTATACTTAATGCATTATAATAATATGTTAATAATATGTTTGTACGTTTAAACATCCTTATTTTACTAACAATAAGCATTGCAAAAATTTCAGTTGGGGGTATGTACATATTATGTATTTTTTTAATTTGCTTTCAAATTTAAAACAAAGGAATCCTTAATCTGTTAAAAGAGAAAGCGGAGAAACGGATCGACGTGATTGATCTTATCTTATCTTTTCAGAAAATATCGGGAATTTTCGTTTTTTGAAAAAAATATTTATTTATTCGTCTACATTAATGTTGTTGTCTTCAAAATAGTCCCCATTGGATATTATGCACATGTGCCAGCTCTTCTTCCAATACTCGAAACACTTCTAAAACTCGATCTTTGGGATAGCCTTTAGTTCTTTTATCTATGCTTGCAAAACGACGGCCCTTTAAGGTTCTTTTTATTTTTGGGAATAGTAAAAATCAGACAGAGGCATGTCTGGCGAAAATGGAGGCTGGGGCATTATTACAGTATTGTTTTTGGACAAAAATTTTGTTTAAAATTTAACAATTTTGGAACAAATTTTGCTGCCACGCGCGTTTTTTACCCAAAACATTCGAAAAAATTTCATGAGATGAGCCAATCGATATCCCAACATCATCAGCGACTTAAGTGGAAGAAATGGTTATAAACCATCAGAGAATCCTCTGATGGTTTATAACCATTTCTTCCACTTTTTCCATGTTTTTATCGGTTGTTAATGTGCTTGGGTGTTCGGGGCGTTCATCTTCAACGTCTTCACGGCCATCTTGGAAACTCTTATACCACTTGTAAACTCTTGTTTTACTTATAGCAGACTCACTATAGGCCTTTGTTAAAATTTCACAGAATTTATTTTATTTTTTAAGCAAAATTGGATACAAATTTCTTTGATCCATTTCTTTTAACGAACGAAAATCGCCGAGCTCATAAAACACGTCTAACCTTAGCGGCTGCCACAAACAAAGTAAACGATGAAAACAGCTAAAGTTTTTATCATACTTCGGGGGCATGTATACCAACATAATAAAGAAAATTTTATGACAACCGGACCCTCCGAACCCGCGAAATTTAACAATTCCCGTTATTTTCTGAAGACACCTCGTATTTAGGGTTGAAAAGTGCTTTAAAATGTTCAATAAAACGATATTGGTTTCAAAGTTACCTTAAGATAAACTAAAAGTTCTTAAAGGCCACTTATTCTTATTCAAATAAGTTAATGTACTCTTTAAATTAAAAAAATCTATTTGCTCTTTATGCCCTATTGATCTTATACTGCTTTTATAATACTAGACATTGGCTATTTTAAAACTAATTTGTGTTTTTAAACGATTAAATAGCAAGTTGTGTTTTTTGGAACAAATTAGGGATTTAAAAAGTGACGAAAAATTGAAATTAAACTCAAGTAATAAATAAACAGTTAATGGCAATAATTTTAATTTTTAGAAAAATTTATAAAGTTTTGCTCAGAAAATGAAGAATGTGAAGACATATTGGACTCGCTTTGTTCTTTGCCAGATGGTCATTGCAAATGTTTGAACAATAAATTTTTGGTTTATATTTATGGAAAGTTACAATGTGTAGATGGTAAGTATGGTATCTTAAACTCGTCCACACCTCAAACTCCACCACGTGACCACGTACGGAATGCAGAGTTTTGAAAATTTGGCATTTAAGGCTTTTCAGGTTATGTATCTGTCAAAGTATAGTCAATGAAAGAAATAATATTTATAGTGTTACCGCTTATGTTTAAGCGTTAAAAGTTTATAAATCTTTATAGTATCACAATAACAATGGTTGGTTTAAGAATTTAGGAATATAAATACTGCATTTAATGAAATTTCATAGTGTAAGGTGCAATATAAGTGATATTTTTGTGCATTGGGTCTACATTTCTCCATAAAATAGTTTTAACTACCCAGACTGCAATGAAGGTTCGAAAATATTCCAGGAATATTCCCTATCGCCTAGGAATAATCCGCTTCATTCTAGGAATATTCATTGGGAATATTCCTAGAATGATCCTCTAAAACTTCCAAGCATCATCTAAGAACATTCCCATTGAAAATTCATTAGTTTAGTTGCAATACCTCTCACCGTTGCTTACGCACGCTTGATAACTATATATACCGATAGGTTAATAATATCACTTGGAAATGTGCGTCTGTGATGGCACAGCTAAACAATGATTAGAGTGGGACTGATCTACTCAGTAACTCAATAATGGTTATACTTAAGTTAAGTTCCTGGGTATAAGAGGCAATAAGGGCTGGGAATAATCCCCAAATTATATCAAAGAATATTCCCCTAACAATCCTTGAGTCTTCTGCAGGCAGATATATGGAATATTCTTTTTATGAAGCCTGGGTTAACCAAAAAGCGGACATTTGATTATGCCAGGAATATTCCTGGGAATATTCTGGGACGCTTGGAATATTCCTGGGAATAAAATGCACAAAAATATTACTTATTTGCCACCATACACTTTAGAATTTCATTAAATGCAGTATTTATATTCTTAAATTCTTAAACCATCCATTGTTATTGTAATGTTATAAAGATTTATACATTTTTAACGCCTAAACATAATATTATTTCTTTCGTTGACTATACTTTGACAGATACATAAACTAAAAAGCCTTAAATGCCAAATTTTTAAAAGACTGCGTTCCGTACGTGGTCACGTGGTGGGACTTTGAGGTGTGGAGCATAGTACCTTAAGAAATTTTCTATCGCTAGTGTTTTTCTTTGTTATGGAAACTATTCATTTTGTTAGATGTCGGATACAACCAAAATTGTTTAGCCAGTGAACAGTGTCAAACGAAATTGGGAGGAAATAGCGAATGTGAGGAACTAACGAAAGTTTGTAAATGTAGAGAAGATTTTCATTTCAAAGACAATGCATGTCATAAAACATCATGTAAGAAGGCATTTTAACAACTGGGTGAATATATTGAGATGTCCCCCAAGTGAAAATGATTATTTTTTATTTTTGGTTGTTTCACTGTTAGTCTAGAATGGGGTTTTTGGGAAGCCACCAGGTCTAGTAATAACCTAATATAAGTGGTTCTGCACTAATGCAAGAATTTTAAGAAATCATACATTTTGAATATTAGAGCTTCACGGAAGATAGGATTTCGTATGTTTTTTTAAATGTCCCTTTGTATATTTAAAATAAGTTATTGTATCATTTGACACCTTAATATTTTTTAAAAATACAATTGTACATACATAAAATATTTATAAAAAAATCTACTTACTGAGATATTACACTTCACGGTGGATAGGTTTTTAAATAGGAAAATAATGAACTTAAACTTTTGAATTATAAAACAGCAACACTCTCATCTGCATATAAATTCTAACTAACCTTCAGGAATCACATGCATCTATAATGTCGTAAACAGAGGTTTTTGCTTATTTAAAATGATTAAATCACCATCCGTTACATAAAATTTAAAGCAAAAACAGATTCACGGAGGAGAGAATCAATTTTTGTAACACCTACATAAATGGTTATAAAAATTATTTCTTTTAATTTATAATAATATTTTATATTTGATTCGATTGCTTCGGATGTGTTTAATTTACTTGGTAAACTGATATTTTTAGTATGCTTTTACTACCTCAGATATTTGAAAACATATAAGTTAACCTAGAAAGAGTAACAGTCACGGAGGATAGGTTTTAGACTTTTAAAACATTGTAAAAAATAATTAAATGCGGTTAAAAATCTGGAACCTGAGCTCTAATATCTACTTAATTATGAAAGATCAAAACACAATAAAAGTGTAGGTCAAACTCATTTAGTTTTATTAAATATCACGGGGTACCCTGGCGAAAATGAAATGTGCAAAAAGTGTGCAAAATTATTTGAGAACAATGTGCCAACAATGTGTAATCCTTTAAAAAGATTATGTGCGGAGGGTGGGAAATGGAACATGAAACAATGTGCAAAACCAAAAATTTAAAAGTGTGAATAATCACTGGACAATGTTCTAAACTCCTTTTGATTTTTCACATTGTTTGCACACTGTTTCGTGCCACCTGTGTGCCTATTACAAAAACAGATTCTTTTTGGTGACCTATAAAGTCTTTTAAATTTACACATAATTGATATATAAATATCCTTATAATAATATTAATCAAATTAATATTAAAAAAAAAAAAATACCAACAATGTAGGTCCTACATACTGTATTTTATTAAGAAAAATACCTACACTGTCAACTCCACGAAGGGAATTGCTTTGATCTTAGCAATAGACCGAGAAGCGATACATAGGATGGAATCTACCTCACCTTTTAAATAAATGTTGTACCCCAACTCAAGCGAGATATATCTAAAATGTGCTTAAACTGTTGAGTGATCGCTAAAACTGTACAAACAATGTGCTATAAAAAGGTGTAATATAAACGTCATAAATGAGAAATATTAAAGCGTGCTAGTTTGTATAAAATGTGACATGCGTAAGATAGACTGAAGCTTTGCAAAATGTCTTTAAAGAATGTACTAACACTGTGCAAACAATGTGCTAAAATATAATGTAATATAAGCGTGACATATGACAAATAAAAAGCGTGATGTCAATGTACATAAAAAGTGAAAAAACTTAATTATTTCAAAAAGTGTGAAATTACCACAAAGTAGCGTGTATGCACATTGTTATAAAGACTTGCATTCCAAATACACACTTATTGCACACTTTTCATGCACGCTTTATTTTCGCCATTGTAACACCATCGGGGGACATTTCGTGAGATTCACCCAACTAAGACTTACTTAATGAAAAAAACTTATTTTTAGATTTATATGAGTCCTGTGCATCAAGTTCCAATTGCTTGGCATTAAATCATATCTCCCCTGTTTGCACAAATTATATTTGTGACTGCCCCAAGGGATTTACGTCAGATGCGACCGGGACATTATGTATCCCTGGTAAAAAATTAGGGGAGGATTGCGATGATCATTATGATTGTAGAAATGTTGATAACGCAATGTGCCAAAGAACTTGTAAATGTAAATTTGGATTTACTCCAAATAGCAACAACAAGTACTGTTTATATGGTATGTAATGAAGTTCACAAATTGTTTAGACTTACGAGGTGTGTTCAGAAAATAACGGGAATTGTTAAATTTCGCGGGTTCAGAGGGTCCGGTTGTCATAAAATTTTCTTTATTATGTTGGTATATATGCCCCCGAAGTATGATAACAACTTTAGCTGTTTTCATAGTTTACTTTGTCGGTGGCAGCTGCTAAGGTTAGACGTGTTTTATGAGCTCGGCGATTTTTCGTTCGTTAAAAGAAATGGATCAAAGAATTTGTATCCAATTTTGCTTAAAAAATTAAATAAATTCTGTGAAATGTTAACAAAGGCCTATAGTGAGTCTGCTATAAGTAAAACAAGAGTTTACAAGTGGTATAAGAGATTCCAAGATGACCGTGAAGACGTTGAAGATGACGAACGCCCCGAACGCACAAGGTGGTTATAAACCATCAGAGAAGTCGCTGATGATGTTGGTATATCGATAGGCTCATCCCATGAAATTTTTTCGAATTCTTTGGGTATGAAACGCGTGGCAGCAAAATTTGTTCTAAAATTGTTAAATTTTGAACAACATTTTTGGCCAAAAACAATACTGTAATGATGCCCCAGCCTCCATATTCGCCAGACATGCCTCTGTCTGACTTTTTCATATTCCCAAAAATAAAGAGAACCTTAAAGGGCCGTCGTTTTGCAAGCGCATCGCTGAAAGAACTAAAGGCTATCCCAAAGATCGAGTTTTAGAAGTGTTTCGAGTATTGGAAGAAGATCTGGCACATGTGCATAATATCCAATGGGGACTATTTTGAAGGCGACAACATTAATGTAGACGAATAATAAAATATTTGTTTCAAAAAACGAAAATTACCGATATTTTCTGAACACACCTCGTATTATCGAAATTCGGATTTTTTCAAAGAAATCGTTGAACTGGTCGATTTTGTTTATCAATTAGGTACACACTTTTTGATGTACAATGTTCATATTTTCCGTCATTTTTGTAGAATCCCTGACGAAATCGGCCATTTTTTAAATTTGAATAGGTTGTGCAATTGTGATTTCAACTATATGCACATTTATACCTTTGTTGCTGATAGTTTTGGAGATATTAATTAATAAAAGTGGAATATTTATAGTTTTTAATAATGTTTTGTAGTTTTTATTAAAAGTTTTCAATTTTGAACGAAAAACTGGTTAAAGTTTTTTGATCGGCACTCTTTGGAGATTTAAAAACGATATTTACCAAAATTCTAACTGCTTTTTTTTTAATTTCTTAAAAAATCATTTTTTTATCGCAAAATCCACCTTTGCCAGAGTACACATTTGTACACCGATTTTTATTGATTGCAGTTTCTTGTTCGGGACCCTTTGGTAACTTTTAATTGATATTTACCGAAATACTAGTTGCTCCTCTTTTCAAAATTTTTTGAAAATTCTTAATTTTTTTTTTAAATTTTTATAATATTGGAGTATATTGTTAACGAAACTTGGATAATACTGTTTTCATACTGAGCACACCATTTTGTAGCCTGATAAACATAAAAATATCTAAAAAAACATGGGTGGGTATATATCTTTTTTGCGTGTTATGCCAAAATCATGAAGTTACGCTTTTGCTTTATTAAAAGAAGCCATTTTTGGCTAACCCTGTATATATTAAATGATGTGCACAGTATAAAAAAGTATTCTTCAAATCTCCTTAACAATATACTCCAATATTAAAAACATCGACGTACAAATGTGTACTCTGTCAAAGGTAGACTTTAAGATAAACAAAAATTTAAAAAAAAATCATGAATTTTCAAAAAATTTCGAAAAGTGGAGCAGCTAGGATTTTGGTAAATATCATTTTTAAGTCACCAAAGGGTCCCGAACAAGTAACTGCAATCAGTTTTTGGCGGCATTTTTATGTGATTTAAACTTCGTTCAGGCACACCGTGTGATGAATTCAGAATTTCATTCGAATCTGCACAAAAAAGATGACGTCATAACTTCTACAAAAATGGCGGCAAATATGAAAATTTTACATCGGAATTAAAAAGAAATGTTCTGGGGAAAAAAGGCACATTTTTAACGAATTTGTACCAAAGTTTTGCCGGTCACTGCATATGTGCTTGTAATTTTTAGCACGCCAAAAATATGGCGAAGACTGCGAGGAAGATATTCAATGTACATCTATTAAATACAGCTATTGTCACCGAGAATTTTTTAACTGTTCTTGTAAAGATACAGACCATTTAATAAAAAATATTTGTCTGGAAACAAAGAAGTTAAATAATATTTGTAATATAGATGAGGAATGTCAATACAAGCCGGAACTTGTTGATGTCATGGGATGTGTGGAAAATACATGTCAGTTGAGAAATGGAAGTTCTTCTTACGGAAATTATTTTCTTAATGGTTGGATGATGCTTATATATATTAGCATTCCTATTATTATAATTATTATTATTATTATTATTGTTCATAATTTAATACATATAAAAAGAATTCTACTCGGCTGAAGAGTCGTAAAATTGTACATGACAAGACAGAGAAATGCATGAAAAACAACCCTCGAGTTAATGTTTAACGAGAACGCAAACTAGAAATATTTCCGGTTTTGTTGTTTTTTTACGTGTATGCAAACCATGTACAGGGTGTTTCACGTTCGTGGTCCATTAGAAGTTTCTGGGAAACGAAAAATGATATCGAATTGAAATTTGAAAAGCGTTTATAATCTAAAGTGTAAGTCTAACTTTGTTATTTCAAATATATCACCCCATACACGGTGGTCAAAACTTAAGGATAGGACGAACAAAAATGCCAACCAAAACTGATAGCATAATCTGATTATAGACTATTTTGGTAACACAAAAATGTATTTGGGTGAATCTCTGCAAATTAGACAATTTATATTAAAATTTTGGCAATTATATAAATTATTACAGTTAAGAAGTTGTTGTTGCTACATTAGTCCAATAGCATAAAATAAATAAAAACATAGTAATTTCACGATGATTTGACGGCTACTTTCCTATTTTTTTGAAATAATTTCCTATTTTAAAAATGAGGGAGTGATAGTAGGTGTGAGGGAGTGACAGTTTAAAAGGTTTGACAAAAGAAAAGTGGTTTTGAACATAATACAGTATTTATTAGAGAAAAATAATTAAACCATAAAGAACTTTTTTGCTTTTTTCTAAAGAAAGTTAAAATAACTAATAAATTCAGTTATACCCTCAAACTCGTCGGGGGGTAATGAATGGATTGATCTTCCAGTATATGATAGTAGTTCTGGAATTGCATTCATAACAGATAAAGTGCTCTCAACATTAATAACATTTGAATCTTTTTAATTGGGCCAGGGGAATCTGTTAGGACCAATAACTTTCATAAAATTTACTCACATTTTTTCTGTTGGTTCCTTATTTTCAATTATTTTTTATTCAGGTATCTATGGTTGATCGTACACAACAGTGTTATTAATAGCTTAATACATTTATAAATGATTTAGCTATTAATCAGTGGGTAGCTGTTGTGTACGATCAACAGAGGATACCTGGAATAATTGAAAATTAGGAACCGACAGGAAAAATGAGAGTAAATTCTATAAGTTATTGGTCCTAACAGATTCTCCTAGATTATAATAAAAAAGAGTCAGATGTTATTAATGTTGAGAGCATTTTATCTTTTAGGAGTGCAATTCCAGAACTAATATCATATACTGGAAGATCAATCCATTTATTATAAATAGGGGTAATTACTGAGGCTGCTATTTTTTTTAATTTTTTGTTTTTTTGGTACCGGATGGTTTCAATTTTAAAGCTTTATTATTGTTAAGTCTTAAATGAGATTTTGGATAACCCTTTCCCAAATGAAAATGAATACATGGCATTGATTTTAAATAACAATCGAAACAACTAAGTTTATTAAAAAATATGCAGTCATCTTCTTTTCTGCATATAACTTGATGCACATTGGTGGTACCCGAGAATGTGGACGCTGAAATGCCAGAAAATAATAGCTCTACCTGTTGTAAAGCGTTAGCAGACAATTCTTGGATATATATTCCCGGACAACGTTCCTTTAAAATGTCTATTAGTTGGGAAATGTTAGAAATGTCTTTTCCTTCAGCTACTGCCTGGTCAGCGGTCCTCTTTAGTGTACCTCCAACGCCATCGGCGGCCCCTTTCCCATGACCCGCTTCAGAGTAATTCCAGGTTAGGATTTCAATGTTTGGTAAAAAATGGTTTGAAAACGATGAAATAACACGAAACATAAATCGATTTCTGTATTGTGTTGCTGGTCCGTCGCTAAGAAAGTGAACTGCAGTTATATCTTCTATTTTATTTTGGTCGATCCAATCAAAAACTATTTTTAAATGTGCCCATGTGCCCCAACATAATCGTGTCTAAGAGATGTTGAAATTGTACAAAACGAACGTGGGGTAACTTTTCCTTGATTATTTTGTATATAAATGACACCAGTATGTAAACTTATTTGCTTCCTCGAGCCGCCAAAATGTAGGGATTGTACTTCCTCGCCATACTTACATGAAAAATTTTCGCTAAAATCAACATGGATTAATATTTCATTTGACTTAAGAGACGTTTTTAATGACGACATTGCATGATACTGATGAAGGATGTTACCAATATGTGTCAGAAAAGGAATTAACTTGAAGTTCATGGAACAAATTAACCAGCGTGAACGCAATGTTTGATTTTGTAGTCTTTCGGATTAATTTCTCTTGTCCTTTTACGGTACATTTACTTGAAACTGTTGTCCAATTATTGTAAATAATTGATCTATCTAAAAACTCTTTTTCTTTTAATTTTTTATTGCAGCAGTTAATACAGTTTCTGAAAAGGCACTCGGGTTTTGGAGGCAAACAGCAAAGAACATTGACAACGTCAGTAGTAGAACGAGTTTCTATAACTTTTGCCTTATAGAGAGCTGATACAATGTACTCAAAATTTAAATGTTTTATACATCAGCATGTTTCTCTATCTTCTACTTTTGGCTTTAAAACCCAAAACGGTTTAAGGCGGCAAAAAGACTGGTAACTCACATGGTAAGGCACTGAACCAAGAAATTTATTATGCAGTGTTTTTATAGTTTCTAACAGGTAACGTTTTTGCTTTTGCTCTTTTTTAAAAGTTATGTATTCTTTTTTACCTGCTGTCATCCGCGATACATCATCTCTCTCAAAAAATTCTTTTATTTCTTTTTTAACATGAAGAGAAAGGTAATTACCTCTGGGTCGAATTTTTATGTTGCAATTTTTTAATGACTGGGGATTCAAGATCTTAGTTTTTTTTGCGATGTTTATTAACCGGTACTTTTTCAACAAGTTAGGGTAGGTGGGGGCAAAAGTCCGTGTGGGGTAAGAATCCGCACGCAAGTAATGGAGACACATTCAATATTATTCATCCACCACGACATGACTCGGTCAGTATGTTGCAGAAGCGGCAGCAGTGAAAACACGTGTTTTGTGCGACGTCAATTTTGATAATTATGCGGTAAGTTGTAAATTTTGTTGTTCTAATCTAATATTTTCAAATATATAAGTGAAGATTACGTGTCTCTAGGGCATTTGTTAAAAATTCTTTTGATACCTCTGAAAAACTCGACTCCTTGACAATATTTTTCACAAAACAAAAATTTATTTGAGGTTATATTTTTTCAGACTTGCTTTGCTAAAACTAAAAGTTAATTTTGGGGTAAACGTCCGCATGTCTGATGGGGCAAAGATCTGCTACGGACGTTTGCCCCTTTCATGCGGATCGTTACCCCGTTCGTGATTCTAAAAACTGTCGGCTGTTATGCTCAGGAATAACAAATTACCTATTATTTATTTTTCAGGACTTACAAAAGAAAAAAAGAAAACCTGAAGCCATTGACTAAGGTTCTACTAAGACAGGCTAGAGAGATGAAAGAGAGAGGCATATCAATCAGAGAAATAGGAAGAACCCTTGCCTATGATGAATCTACAATTCGAAAAAGGCTGAAAGCTGGCAGCGGTGTAAACTCCTTGGGACGGTTTAGAGCTGTATTTACTGCAGTACAGGAAAAACAAATAGTAGACCATTGTAAGGCGTTAGACTTGCGTTTCTATGGACTCACTCTAAAATCGCTCCGTTTTCTGGCATATCAGTATGCACAAAGAAATGGCATCACACATCCATTTAACAATGAAACCAAATTAGCCGGTAGGGATTGGACAAGAAAATTTATGAAAAGAAATCGTCTGTCACTGCGTACGCCACGAAAAACCAGTGTAGCTAGAACAATGGGGTTCAACAAGCAGCAATTGTCACAATATTTTCAAAATTTAAAAACTATCCTTGAGAAATATAAATTTCCACCCAACAAAATCTACAACATGGATGAAAGTGGTTTTCAAACTGTTCCAAATAAATTACCAAAACATGTTGCTCCCACTGGAAAAAGAGAAGTGGCCAAAAATGTAGCTGCCGAGCAGGGAAAAACTGCGACGGTAGTATGTTCTATGAGTGCAACGGGACACTATATTCCACCGTTTTTCATATTTGCACGCAAGAGACTAAATTTTCTATTGATAAAGGATGCTCCAACTGGTTCTGCTTTGGGTGTAACAGACTCTGGATACATGAATTCCCAAAGATTCGTCGATTATTTGGAGCACTTCAACAAGTATACGAATCCTACTGCTGACAGCCCTATCATGTTAATTCTGGATAATCACATTTCGCATACCAGTCTGCAAGCCATAACTTATGCAAAAAATAATAATATTCACTTGCTTAGTCTTCCACCACATAGCAGTCACCGCACACAGCCCCTAGATAGAAATTTTTTTAGACCTCTTAAAGCCTATTACGATGACTTATGTGATAACTGGACTACATCAAACCCTGGACAAGTAGTGACAGAATATCACATCGCTGGATTACTTAAGCAGGCCTATGAAAAAACAGCTACTATCGAAAAAGCTGTTAACGGGTTCAGGATGACTGGAATATACCCTCTGGATGAAAATATTTTTACTGAGGAAGATTTTCTACCTGCTTCAGTAACAGACCAAGGAAATGAAACGGAAGAAATAGATGATGTAGATAGAGGTGATCGAGACATGCACTCGAATATTGTGTTTGAGGAACCTGAGGGCAATAACGAAGCAGAAGAACCCATTGAAGAGGCAGATAATCTTCCCGATAGAGCTAATGTTTTAAGTGAACCGGAATCTCCAAAACCTGGATGTTCTCGAGAATACGAATCTCAAGTATCGAAATGTTTGAAAGAAAATAATAATCAGTTTTCTGTTACGGTACCTTCAGATATCATTCCTTTGCCGATACTTACGAAAAAGAGAAAACGAACAAGAAAAGGACTGAAATCTACTCTTCTTACTTCAACACCAAACAAAGAGGAACTGGAAAATATAGAACAGCAAAAGAGAAGAAAAATTGAAGAGAAAGAAATAAAGGCAAGCATCAAGAGAAATAAAACAATTATAAAAAAAGTGTTTGACGAAAAAGAAAATTCCCTAAAAAAAAATGAATATCAATCCTCCTCTGAATCAGAGGCGCAATTTTCACTTCACGATAGCAGCAGCGATATGAATTTTTCAGAAAGTGATGCAGAATCAAACAGTGGCCCACCTGGGTATACTTCAGGGGAGTTTGCTGTAGTAAAGGTTTGTGGAAAAACGAAAGATTCATTTCGACTTTACGTAATCAGAATAATTGCAATGATGGACGATGGTTGCAATGGAATTTATTATAAAAGGGTACCTAATACAAAGCGTTTTTTGGAAACCGAAGAAGAGTTTTTTGTCAACCGAGCCGACATTGTCAGGAAACTCTCAAAGCCATTGCCAGGCAGTTCTGCGAGATTTAAGGACTTTGTTAGTTTTTCTACCGACTTAAGTGATTTAATGTTGCATTAGCGTTGTATTTGTTTAGGTCTTAGGTTTTTGAAAGTATTTTTTTTAGAAAAATAAAAGTATAGGTATCTGTATATTGAAGGTTTTTATTTATTTAAAACCATTTTTATTTATTAGGGGCAAAGATCCGAGATGCGGATTCTTGCCCCACTTGATGGGGCAAAGATCCAAATTGTCAAATTTTAGATTGCATTTTCTAATTTTTTTTCTGACACATATTTTGCATTAGTTTAATATTTAAAGCCAAGGACATTAATGGCCCTAACATGTCGATATATTTCAAATTCATAATGAAAAGGAAATAGTCACAAATAATTGCAAATGCAAAAATGCGGACTTATGCCCCCACCTACCCTATACTTCATAGTTTTGTTGTAGATTTTTTTATTTGAATGACTGCCAGCTTCACGATAGTTTTCTTGCAGCTGTCGTTGAAGAACTTCACCAAACAATAATTTTCTTCTTACAGGTTCAGTAACTTTTTGGTTTCCTAATAGCTCATTAACCTTTGAGTTTGGACTTAAAATTCTGCTTTTTTTAATGTCTTCTCTTTCATTCGTTGATATCTTTTTCTGTACTTCTCAGATGATTTTTTGGATTCTGCAAGTTTTTGTTTTAAATCAAGTATTGTTCTGTACATTTTGGACCGCGATTTTATCACTCTCTTACGTCCCACATTTTTTCTATAGGTTGAATTTCTTGGAGTGGGAGCATTTGAGTTAGAGGGCGTGACTACTGCATTTTGGATGGGGATTGGTGAATGTGGAGGAGAATTATCTATCAGGAGTTGATTGAGATTTTTCTGATCCCTTTTGTTTTTTCTGTAATTTTGAGCTCTCTTTCGCCATTCCATTTTAATTTTTCTATGTTCTCTACTGGTCATATTATCTACCAATTTTGCTGCAAGTTTTCCTTGTTCACGTTTTTTCCTGTATTTAAGTTTTTCTTTTTCCCTCATTTCTGCTAATTTTTCGGGATTATTTTTCATTTCTTCTCTTCTCTTTTTGTCATATTCCTTTTTGCGTAGTTTTGCTTCCTCCTTGCTACGTGCCATTTTACTACAAAAAACAGAAAAAATTAAAAAGTATTATTAATCACTCCCTCACTTCAGTTATCACTACCTCACTTGTAAAATTATGAGGGAGTGACTGGTGAGGGAGTGACGAAAATAAAATAAAATTGGCAACTCTGTAACACCGGTTAGAATATTGAGGTTATATTTGCGACAGTAATAATACACCTAAATACATCTTAATTACTGAAATAATTAAAGTTGTAATAATTACCTGGTTTGAAATATTCACAGTGAGGGAGTGACACTACAAAAAAACTTTTGCTAATTTTTATTTATTTATAAAATGCTGTAATTTTTAACAACACAGGTGAGCAGATGTTTTCACTTGATATCAACAGGCCAACTGGTTTCGGCACTGTTGCCAAATAAGTTTTAAAAAAGTTTACACCACAATAGCTTTTTCGCGGGAAAACAGAAATATGTGAGGGAGTGAACATTACTTATTGGGACTAAATAAATATAATAATAGGTAGTCGTAATTTATTTATTACTTAACTTCTGACAAGGTTTGCACAACCCCTGGATATACTCCGTATTCTTTCCTAAATAAATACTTATCTAAATAAAATTAGGTCTAAAAAATATGGTTTTAAGAAAAAATTATTAAGTTGGGACATAGTGAGGGAGTGATAAATGACACTTAAAAAAAGTATGATTCCGCCTATGGTGCAAGGTATTTACATCATTTGATTTTTTTAGCTTCTATATCTTATGTACTAAGCCCTGCATAAAAATATTTCCAGCTAACCTTATTTCAAATTCAAAAAATATCCCAGACGGCAAATTGTTTGATTTGCAGAGATTTATATATTTATCAAAATCCCAGCTGATCCTTTATTAAAGTTTTGCATATTTCTTAGTATTTTAAAATTGTTTATGCCATTTCGATAAAATACTCTAGTACCTACCATTATCAAATGTTTTTAAAAATTTGGCAGATACATGACTGAAATATGGATAAATTACATTATAAAAATAAAATAATGTAAAATACAGTTTGCAATATCTTATTTATTGTTTTAAGGTACCTAATACTAAACTAATAAATAACTAAAGATTCTTTAAAGCAAAATCGATTACTGCTTGCCTTAAAATTTCAGTAAAACTTTTTCTTGGGTTTTACATCCATGGAATTGTTTTTAACATGGAAACAGTAGACTGGGCCAAAAAAATGGACTATTTTTTTTTTTTGAAAAATATATCGAGAATGTCGTTCAGAATGACAAATGAAAAATTTCGTGAAAATTTGAGCCCTTAATATTAATTTTAAGAGGTCTATCATCGCTATTTTTGATTTTTAGTCATAATTTGATGTTTTACGTTAGAACTGTCAAAACATTAAAGTGATAAAAATTCCTTTTCACTTATTTTTATATAAAATTAAATTCTCTACAAAAAAGGTCTGATTGAAAATTTTCGTCAGACGAGCCGTTTCCGAGTAATTGAGCTTAATAAATCGATGTGTTTTTTCGATTTGCCCTTTTTACTTTGAAATTTTGTAACTAATGAATCAATAAATATTTTAAAAAGCCCACGTCGGATTCTTAAAGGAAATTTAGTGTTCTACAAAAAAGGTCTCTTAACATATTTGCCTAAATTTAATTCTTCAAAAGTTATTCACGAAGAAAAAATTGAAATTTTAAGTTTTTCTTCGATTTTAATCGTGAATAACTTTTGAAGAATTAAATTTAGGCAAAAATGTTAAGAGACCTTTTTTGTAGAACATTAAATTTCCTTTAAGAATCCGACGTGAGCTTTTTTAATATTCATTGATTCATTAGTTACAAAATTTCAAAGTAAAAAGGGCAAATCGAAAAAACACATCGATTTATTGAGCTCAATTACTCGGAAACGGCTCGTCTGACGAAAATTTTCTATCAGACCTTTTTTGTAGAGAATTTAATTTTATATAAAAATAAGTGAAAAGGAATTTTTTTCACTTTAATGTTTTGACAGTTCTAACGTAAAACATCAAATTATGACTAAAAATCAAAAATAGCGATGATAGACCTCTTAAAATTAATATTAAGGGCTCAAATTTTCACGAAATTTTTTATTTGTCATTCTGAATGACATTCTCGATATATTTTTCAAAAAAAAAAAAAAAGTCATTTTTTTGGCCCAGTCTAGGAAACAGTATTTTTAAATTCTTCAGTCTCTGTACAAACATGCTTCTTAAATCTAGCAATATCCCCTAAAAAGGAAGAGCATTTCAAAACTTTAGTTCGTTCGTCCGTCCTCTTCCCTTAATAATTTTTTATCCCCTTTATATCTTGCCATTTTGCAGATAAAGCACATACATTCTTGGCTGCCGCAAAATTCTCTAGCAATTTCTAAATTTTGAAAATTTGGAAATTGTGGCTATGCAAAAATACCGTTTTTACCTACTTCAATATATTGAAGTAGGTAATTTTGAATCACTTAAGTTAAAGTGTTCGTTTGAAAAAGTCTGCAGTAATTTTTATATTTTCTCAGAAACCCTAAACTCTGAATTTTTCGATTACCAAAAACAATTTTGTCTCCACAGCCAGCACATATCTTCTTTCGATTTTCTTCATGGCTTAACTTGAATTTCGGTTTAATTTTCATTTTAAAATACTATTTTTAACTTTTTAAAGTATACATTAAATAAACAACTAAAGCAAAATGTCACTTGCGTTATAACGTATAGCAATTTTTTTCATAACCACCTTAATTATTGTTTTAAAAAATTTTCAATTTGTAATTATTTCATAGAGAAACTTCCAGTATTTTTTGTTATAAAAAATATTTAAGATATAAATCTTCGTTTTTTTTGTTATGTTTTGTTTTGAGTAGGTAGTAAAAAATAATAGGTGACTCAATAAATTAATACAAAGTTTATTATTTTGCTTAATTTTATTAAAATTGTACAGGTAGTTTTAGTACAATAATTGCAAAATAATATATAGAAATAGAAAAACAAAAAAGTTTGCAAAAAATAGGATCAGCTGGGATTTTAATAAATACATGTTAGTGTTACCAAAAGGGTCTATAATCAAAATATGCTATCAGTTTTGGTTGGCATTTTTGTTCGTTCTATACTTAAGTTTTGACCACCGTGCATAAATTTTTACATTTTTAAATTCTGTATAAAATTTTGAGTAAAATTTCTATACCTAAACAATAGTTTTCGAGTTATTAGGTAATCTTTTTCGGTTAAAATTTGACAAATGCGCGCCAATCATAAATAGGCTATAACTTTTTTGTTATTAGGTTTGCTCATATGGCGGTGGAATTGTTTAAAAGATTACATCAGTGGCGGCTCGTCGTATAAAGCAACTGAGGCCGGGCCTCACATGTTAAAATTATAATATAATGTGAAATTTCGATACATTATTTATATAAATATAAAACGTTTTTAAACTAATTTCCAATCATTAAAAGTATCAAAACATCGAATAAACATCAAAGTTTAAAATATAGTTAAGTAATCTTTATTTATTGTTTTTTACTGGGTGTTAAATATTTAATTATATTTCATGGAACAATGGATTATTATAATGCCTTGTCCGATATCATGGGTGCCTATCTGAAACTTGACAACGTTTTATTGTCCACCCCGACCGCCCCTCAACTCCGGGATCGCAACACGCGACCATACAGTGCAGGCGCACCTCGTGCTAATCATTTGTTTTTGTTGACCTATTTGTGATTTTAATTTTCGAGGCGGTTTTTCGTTTTGCGAGTTAAAAATCTTATTGTTGAGTTGCCTGTTGCTGAAAGCAGCAAGGAGGTAAGGTAAGTCAAAAGCCCTTACATCAAGTAAGTAAGCCGATTTGTTTTTTTTTTTATTTTATTAATACAGTATTTCTAAGGTTTATTTTTCATTTAGTCTTTGTTGTTGTGCGGTTGTGCCTTTATTAATGTAAAAATAATTATTGTAAGATAGGTAAAAATAAATATCTCACGATATTGCT